CAATAGATCTCTGCACTCTCAGGCATATACTTATATACAAATTGTGTTGCAATAGACAAATGTTTAGTTGACAGCTCGTTTGTTGTTCAAGTTGTTTTTATGTGTTCTGTATTTATACAGATCAGTATCGGTGTTGTGTTGTCGCTACAAATTGTCATGATTGCTAGCCGTTTTAACTGGCAACTCCTTGAGTCAGCAACAAGCTGTAATTTTACATTTTTTCTTATTTTTTTGTTTTCTTATGTTTGCTATTGTTTGTAGTAGTAGATCCCTGCAAAACAAACAGCCAGCATAGTACACTTTCGCACAGTTCGCATATAACAAATGAAAATAAAAAATTGTCCCGATATTTACCACTAACCAGCAGATCAACCATTAAGTTGTGATTGTTTCTAGCGGCTTAATATGTAACGTTCAAGTCAGTTAAAAAGACTCAACGGTAAATACGGTGAACGACTAACGACGACCTCATCATCACGACTTTTGTTTTAATTTTATCAATTGTTTGCCGGTACTGCTGTCACCGTTTTTTTTTTTTTTTTTTTTTTTTTTTTTTTTTTTTTTTTTTTTTTTTATGTTATAAATGTAATGCATATGACTTGTCTTTTTCTTTCTTTTTTCCCTATATCTCAAAAGCGAGCTTTAAATAAATAAACACCAATGTCTGGTTGATGGTAAATAGAAAACTGCACTAGCACGTGACATCCACTCCACTGGTTAATGTAGAAAACAAAACCTATTGAGGGATTTTATTTTCTTTTAAGCATTGTGATGAACGTGCAAATATTTGGAAGCGTTAAATGAATAATGTCTTGCCATTATTTAACGAGACCGGTGCTTAGCAAACGCCCTGATTACATATATATATATACACGCACATATATATATATATATATATAATAGATTATATTGATCAAAATTTAAATCATATTTGGGAAGAGAATAGTACCTAGAGGACTTTATTTAAATAAGAGCTAAACTTCAAATATAGTGATCTTCACATAAATTGATTAAATATAAAATGGAAAGCATTTTTAGATGCTAGTATAGGAGTAAAATGAAAGAAAAAAATTAAACATTAAAATAACAACAAGTGAAAACATTCTTGTTTGGATAAGGATTAACGCGCCATCCTACACAATTATGCTTAAAATAAATTGTGATGACAAATCATCTGAATTTATACTTTGTCTCTTGTGAAAGCATGACAGCGCTTATAAGGGACGGTGGGCAGAATGGGAACTAACTTGATTGAAGATTAAAAAAAAAAAGTTAAATTTTCTTCTCAATGATCTTATTATTACCTACTTACAAATTGGACTTTGTTACCGCGCACAACAATTTAATTTTGAAAAGCACGTTTACATATCGTGGGATCCAAAAACTAAACCTACATGAATCAAGTTTCATATTTTTGACATTTTGAAATTATATCGATTTAATTTAATTCATTTTGTTTTATACAAGTTTAGGTCTTAGTTTAATTTTTAACCTATTATCTGTTTACATGGCCCAAGCGATGGCACTGGCACACGTGTGATCGGAAGCGAAGAACAAACAAGAGAGAGCTAAAGCAATCATTATTTGAACGTTGCCATCACCTTCGTCTTTACCGGGATACAATTAATTTTTAGGTGGAATTACTTCTACGAACCAATTTATGTCAAAAATTATCCCATTTTGCCGTAAAAAACTTAACGAAAGTTTGCTATATAAGGCAAGTTTAAAATAAGAAAGACCTATCCGATTCAAATTTTTAACATTAACTTAATATTATCTGAAATGTTATTAATCAGCTTTAATCAGACAGTGGCAGGAAATGGCGTACATTTTGTTTCGGAAGCATATTGGAAAGTATTCCATTCGCTTTTTCTCTCTCTCTCTCTCTCTCTCTCTCTCTCTCTCTCTCTCTCTCTCTTTCTTTCTTTCTTTCTTTCTTTCTTTCTTTCTTTCTCTCTCTCTCTTTCTTTCTTTCTTTCTTTCTTTCTATCTACATGTCTATCTACCTTTCCCTTTGCTGTTTACTAAATTCCCTGTATATATACTCGGACTATGTCAGCCCCGAATAAGTTTAATGGTTCACATGAATGCTTGCGGCCGAATGAAATATTAATAACCTATTAGCTAAAATAATTTTCATACCTTCGTTTTCGTCAACAATCGTTAATCAATTGTGATCATTTAAATCCTGCTCTTCTTCAAGCTTCTGATCACCGCTCATTGATAGAACTTTTCAAATTTTATTTTCACTCCTTAGCCCCCTTTTTTTTTAACAATATCTTGTTCTTATTCTCTTTCTTTTCTTTTTTTACTTTTGTGGAACGTGGATGCGTTGCTCATGTAAATCTTGTGACTGCAGTGGAGCAATCTAGGAGTCAGATATTCAAACATTAACAAATGTGGATATACATGATATAATGATCATCGTCCCATTACTCATATCTTCGATTATATACATATTTATATTCACGTACGTTACAAAAACATTGTCAGAGTTTAATGCCATGATTTTTTCAAGTTCTGCAGATTTGTAAGAGGTCACCGCTCAAAAATGTTAACATCCCAAGATTTTGCATTCAAAGACAGTTATTACATGCAAAGGCGTCTAATCGGAGCATAGTACGTAACGGATATATATCCATAGGGTAAACAAATACAATTAATTTACAAACTGATAGGACACGCATAAGATAAAACCCATAGTGGTGTAAAAATATTGTTTAAAGGTATGGGTTGAAAATGAATTCGTCCTGGGATCGTCCCTATTACAATTACTGGCGACAATAATAAAATGACTTGACTATAACATATATTAAACTGTATACTATAGACCACATGTAAAAGGTTACATATTTTGATGTAAGAAAAACTGGCTGGGATGCCAGTATACTTGTTATGCTTTGAGTCAGCACAGTGCGCCTTATATGTACTAACCATTATTCATACTTGTATTACACACTGAGATTGTATACACAACACTTTCATGTTTATCGAACTAAGCTCTTAATTGTTCGTGTGATAATGTGTGGAACGAGAAACCTCTATTACATAAGCTAGTTATTTGAAAAGGAACAATGGATTTTCTACTAGAATATAAAGCGGGAATGGAATGCTGGCGAGTACTGCATATTCTACAAGCAAGATTAATCTGCCATTTAAATACAGAAAAATAGTAAATAGCGAAATATTAAAACAATGTAAATACGAATCTATTTAGGCAAGATTCCTCGAGCAACCTAAGAAAACGAGTCGACAGTAGTTAGCAGAAGTAAAGGTGTATTCCGTCTATCTAATACTTGATAAACGCATATTTAGAGATTTTTAGTCATCAAATTTCTGCAAAAATGTCAAATGTCGGATGATCGAAAACTCGTACCAGGCAGTGTTATCATTCAGAAGGAGTTGATGAATTATGTCATAGATAAAGTGGAATATTTTTTGCTTGATTTTTGTGGTAAGCGCCCCAAAGCGTTTTTTCCACTTATTATTCCAAATGTTTATAACAAGATTCTATCTTGGATTTGGATCGCGTAAAGAGATGGTATAATTTACAAAAAGTGAAAGCAATGAGACATGCTTCACTATTTCGACGACATTAATATGGTATCACCTTGTTATGGACCTGTATGATCTCAATATTTTTTACAAGGCTTCAGTAAACTATAATTGTGGCATAGAATAGAGTTTGAAATTTTAACTTTAATGCATTTATGACATATGGGAGATTGCGATATCAATATAATCGCATATCGTGTCAATGACGTCTATCCAGATATCAATGCATTTCTAGTAACTCTAAGGAATATATGAACTGATTAATGAGTTAATTATTTAAATTTAAAACTATTTAACGGTTAATGCAATTTTTTGCTTACATATATAAACACACGTCTTAGGGTCTATTAAATATGCACACTGAAAAACGTAATTGGTTGAGACTTTGTTTCAAAATTTTACTTTCGTGGAACTGGTCGGAACGCGTGTATGTTATCATTTGAAGTGCTAGAGAGAGCGTTGTCGTGGAGTCTCGGTAATGTCGCAATAGAAACTATACTGAATTTTGATTCTTATGCGTTTTTCTTTACAAGCAGTCACAGAGCGATTCTTATTAACTCCTTATGGGCGTTTTTATAAACCGATTAAAGCCGTTCAAATTATTCGCCCAAGAGCACGTTTCAGAGCTTTCAGTTTCTTTTTTACTTTCAGATTTTTAATTGCTGCCCTATATTCCAACCTGATAGGGGAAAAGCATTAAAACACATGCATTGCACATGAACATAGTTCAATCAATTCGGAAATTGATTTGATTAACATCATAACTACCGAATATATCATTATTATCGTTTATAATTTTCGATCTTTAAAAAAAATTTTAGATTATAAAGCAAGCAATGTAAGAACATTGGTTGGCGGCTTTTATTTCTATAAGAAAACCTTCAATCTTCTACAATCAGTTTGTTTATACCTTGTCTAGCTTTCGAGATGCCGATGACATGTATCCATTCCCATTGAAAGTGATCATTTTCATCCTCTCCTTTGGTCCGACTGCCGCTGTCGCAAATGTGAAGATACGAAGACCAATTTCGCCATAATTTGTCATTCTTTGATTGATTAAAAGCCTAAGGTTAATTCGAAACGTCCACAAATAAATAATTTTATTAAAGATTTTTTTTTTTTTAAGTTCTTGTGGTTCTTTATATTTAATCGTTTAGTCATCCCATCGTTAAGTGAGCAGTTAAGAAATCCGAGATTTCTGTTGTTTCTCCGGGGAAATAATTTTTTCTACTTATAGCAATTTAGAATATAGCCCCAATATAATAAAAGAAAATTATTTTTTAAAAGAATTAGTTTATCTTCAACAAAACAAAAACCTTATCAGTTTTAAACTACGTCAGCACAAACAAGAGGCGTTTTTATGTTTGCTTTATTTAGCGATTTTATGCAAAATATGAGAAAAATTTCATCTTGCATACACATATTTTTTACTTACATTTCTTGAAACCCCAATGAAGTATGGTATTTGCTGTTGAGCACTGGGAAAATTTCGACAATCTCAGGAAGTGAAGTAAATTCGTTAAGCTCAGCAACATTGAAATTGCGCCGAAAAAAAAAGGAGAAAAGAGGAGCGAAAAATCCATTGGGAAAAAGAGCGTAAGCAGCATTGTAAAAATGTCATCAATTGTGCAGAAAAGTTTTTATACACTAGATATTCCGGAAAGTTAATAAAGAAAACGGGAAACATTGTAAAGTAGATCTGAGACGTGCAAGATGGTGGAACGCATCGAGGATTTGAATTTACCTAATGCTGTTATTGCTCGTCTTATCAAAGAAGCTCTACCAGATGGGGCGAACGTGTCAAAAGAAGCTAGAACCACAATAGCTCGAGCAGCCTCAGTGTTTGTCATATTTTTGACGTCAACGTCAACCACGTTGGCGCGAAAACAGAATCACAAGACCATTAATACCGTCAACATATTAGATGCATTAAAACAGCTCGAATTTGAAAGTTTCGTTGAACCTCTGACACGAGAATTGGAAGTATATCGTAAAGTGATAAAAGATAAAAAGGAGAAATCGAAGAAAGAAATATCGACTAACGCAGACAACAACAACGCAACGAAGGAAACAAATTAAAGCATTATCCAATCCCCTTGTTATTGTTATTACTTCTTTTCAATTTAATTAATTTTCAGTTAATTATTAATAATACCGTGTAATATTACTTTACGAAAACAGCTAAGCGTGTTTCATATCCCAGGTTTGTATTGATAAATGATTATCAGACCACCCGTCGATGCTTTATAAGTTTATTATATGTAATAAATATGGAAAATTATAGGGATTCACAAAATTCAAATTGGCTAGAAATGAGAAAACAATGCGACACTTATTATTATTATAAGCAGCAAAATATTGCTTTCCATCTGAAGACTATCGATTAATTGGTCAATTCGGCATCTACATCTTGCCAGAAAGGATCGGAAAATGTATCCGATTCACCATCGTCGTGTGCTACGGCAGGTGAGGACAACAATTCCACGGCTTCAATAGAAGGTTCGTCGCATTCGATAGGCCATTCCTCGTCTTGATTCGTTGAAGAGGTCATTGAAGTATCTTGTTCGTTTTTATTGTTCGACCACGACACTTTGCCTAAAGCGTTAACACCTTCGAGAGCTCTTTGATAGGTTGGTTCCATACTGAATTAAGGAAAATTTACAGGTGTTCATTGCAAACGAAAACCCATCATGTATTTACCTTAAAGCGGTAGTGTAGTATTCTAGAGCACCATTGAGATCCTTTTCACCAGCCAATATGTCTCCCAACATTGTGAACAATCTATAATGCGGGTAATTGATAACCTGTTTTTTAAGCAATGCGATTGCTTCTTGAGTTTCGCCCTCGGCTTGACACAATTCTGCCATTAAAGCCACAGCCGGTGCGTAATATTCGTCGATTTCCAAAGCTTTGCCTATTACTTTCTTAGCACTCTTTTTGGGATGAGGGTGCGAAGAGTGAATCAGAGTGCGAGCAAACATCTATAGACTCAATTATTATAACAGTTTTAAAAAGGGTTGCGTTTTTACCTACCACGTAACTTCTGGGTAAATTACGAAAATAACGCACTGCCAACGCGCACATCGTTTGAGCCTCTTTGCAACGTTTCATTCCCATATAGCAATAGAACAATCCTTTATACACCTCAAAGCGATAATTGGCTACACATTGGGCGGCTCTAAAAAAATGTATTCCGTCCTTATGCCGTTTAGTTCGCAAGCATATTTTCCCTCTTAGCAATTGCGCCTCAACATTTCGCGGATTTAGGGTTAAAGCTTTATAAGCAAAGGACGAAGCTTTCTCTAACATGCCGTGAGCATAGAAACTTTGCGCCATCACAAACCAATGGCCGGATGTGAATTCATGTATATTCGTCATTTGGGCAGTCAATTTATCCAAACCTTGTAATTTTTGATTGTACTCATATACTACTGACAGTGGCATAATTGCATCCCAATTATGCGGATTAATCATAGCCGCCATCTCGAGATATAATTGGGCTTGCGTGGAGTTTCCATAGTAATAAAGACTTTTTCCTATTAAAGTAACTAGATGCTCATTTTGGTGGAATTTTGTGTTGTCATTAATACTTTGAAATGTTTTTGAGGCTTCCAAATGATTGCGACTATACATTTGAGCATGAGCCTTAATCCAATTGCTTAGCCATTCTATATTTTTTGGTACACTGCTCGCTAAAAATATATATTGGGGTTAATTTTGCGGTAAATAGTTTAGAACCCGATACACTTACCATTTACTACCAGAGAATTCACTTCTATACCATTCACTCCCAATTCCAACAGTGCCTCAATAGCTTCCATAGCTAGAGGACATTCACGTAACACATCCTTGTAAGCTAATATAGCCTCTGTTGTATTTGAAGAACCTCCTTGTTGAACAAGTTTGGCTTGTAACATATTCACTTTAGGAGTACGGGATTTCGCCGGCAAAGCTTGTAAAGTTGCTACGGCTTGACTATGTTCTCCTAAATCTCTATAACAAGTTGCCAATCTATAACGTGTCTCAATCTCTCCAAATTGTTCGCAAGTGTTCTCAATAGCTGCTAAATGAACATTTTTATAACGTATCATGCTTTTACGCATCAAAAGAGCAGCATTAAAGTGCTTAATAGCTACACGATACTGACGTTCATAATAACAAGCATTACCGTAATACAACAGAACCTGATACTCCAATTCTGAAGTAGCCAGAGACCGATCATTTTGGAGTAAGGTGTGTAATAAACTTGCCTGTTAAATAAAATAGTTATTAAATTTGAATATATTGAAATAACTTTACATGGTTACTTACAGTTGGTATAACAGATGCATACAACTCATTATCATATAATTTTTTAACATTATTTAGTAAAATAATTTCCATAATAACGATTATTAAAGCTTAGTTTTCAAATAAATATTTGCAGTTTGTTTTGTTCTTTTCTTTTGTTTTGATTTTGTTAAGAGCAAATGCTAACACATATTAGCTACGAAAAATCACTAATGGAACAGTACAGCCGTGTGAGTGAGATAGAAATAAATTTTTCTCAGATATGCAATTTAAATAGAGAATATACCAAAAAAAAACAATACACCTCTTAAACTAAATATTATACCTATGGTCACTTATACGGTCACAGAATATGAAAAATTAAAGTTCCCTGCCTGAAATAATTTTACAATTGGTTTGTTTACCTCCAAAGAATTTTGATAACGTTTTCAGTTTATGCAATGTAAAATATTTGTTAAGTCACTCGTGAAAAACAATAAATATAATATAAAAGTTTTTTAAAGTTATTTTTTATACATAAATTTTTGATACAGTTTTTTGATACAACAATCAGACTAGATACAAATTACTCAAAAACGCCCACGACACCTAAACGGATAAAATTGCATAAAATTTATAGCAAAAAAATTGATATGTAACTAGTATATGAATCAGTTGCTTTGTTGCAACGACCGCGTATCGATTGGTTGCTTATACGCTAAGTTAAGCCCAAATTATTTATATATATATGGGGGCGGCACGCTTCGGTTTTAAGATATGAAATTAACTTTCATGGCCAGAAAGGCTTTTGAAGGAAACTTCTGAGTTGCATATTTTTGACGCGAATCAAGTTTGCGTAAACAAGATTATGTATTGTGACCCTGAGTTCTGTAAATGCTGAATAATTAGATGCTATAAATGCGGAAACGTATTCCTAACAACCCTGTTCACAGTACATTAAATGAGGCAGTTAAACAGCTGCTATATATATTTTATAATGTTACCGGTAAATGATTGTTCGTAAAATTATTAAATTATATATCATTTTTGCTAAAACAATTATGCTACAAATAGAAAAAAACAAATTCGAAAGTTAATGTGAAATAATGAATACCGGCCGTTTAATATTAAGAAAATGTATCGCATTCGGTGGAAGCAGAAATATTATAAGTAAGGCGTACATTGCATCATCTCCATATATAGAGAACAAACATGAAAGAAAATGTGCAGTACCAGCATCATTTAAAAGTCTAGTTAAGTCTATGCATCTACAACCACTGCTAAGACACCAACATGAATCGCTAATGGCCACAGTGCACTTGGAGTGTAAAGCAAGTAAAAAACGTAAAAAACGTTCAGTTGGTAAAACCGAACTGTTAGCCATGGGTTTCTATAATGTAACTGCATACACTACAGCCGAGGAGTACGATTTGGAGAGTTTATTGGATGCGTTACGAGAACAAAAGCTGTACGAAGCCAAAAAATTTTTTTCCACAGACAATTTAGGCTTAGAACAAGATGTTCTTTACGTTACTGCCAAATATCAAGTAGGAGAAGAAGTGCGTGATATTTTCTTCTTTCGAGAGGGTTCAGTGGTTATGTGGAATTTTAGCGAAATCGAAATCAATAATGTACTTGCGTTTTTAAAACCATTTGAGAAAGACCGATATTTGCAACCACTGATACGTAGTGAAAGTGAAATAATGCCGTATACCTATGTGCCGTCTTCAGCTATAGATGTTGAAGGTGATATAGTCCCAACTGAAGATGTGATATCTGCTTTCTTTCAGACTGGTAAATTTTTTCTCATCTCTAATGCGGATAATTTCTTACCTAAGTACACATTTTCCAATGCTTTGTCTACCAGTATTAAACTGGGAATTTGGGAAGCCAGCCTTGATCGTTATATAAATTCTATGGAATTTATAACGGATGATATGAAAAAAGGGCGACGTATACGTATGTCGAGAGCTGAAGTCTTACGTAAAACTGGTGAACTACTGGCTCTGCGTCACGCAATTAATTTATCCTCAGACCTGCTGGATACGCCAGACTTCTATTGGGACCGTGAACAACTCGAAAGATTGTATGTTCAGGTGTGTTCATATTTTGCCGTCTCAAGACGTACCAAGGTTATGAACGAAAAAATTAACCACTGTGTGGAATTAGCTGAATTAATATCTCACAATCTCAACGAAGCCCATAACACACGTCTAGAGTGGATGATCATTATCTTAATTATGATTGAAGTATGCTTCGAAATCCTGCACTATATAGATCGCTACTATGGCAAGGACGTGTCAGCATATGATGACAAGCATAATATTGTAATACCTGCCGCAGTACAATAAAAATACATTATACAAAAATTTTAAATACAATAAAAAGTTCAGATACAAGACAACCATTTACTGTTAAAATAATCTCTTAAAGTTTATCATTATTTAATGTTTTGTGACAGAACGTTACTTTAACGTATAAGCAACTCTGGAAGAGTACTTCAAATACCTCGTGAAATATCGTACGGTAAAACATCTGATTTATCGAAAATAAGCTGTCGAAAAATTTCCAATTTCAAAAGTATTTCAATAGAAAAATATATTGGAATGCATTTAACCTTGATAAATTTCTTCAAAAAAACTGTGCCTGGCCATATTTTTCGAGGTAAGCGTCGTCTAGTTAAGCCAGTCGGTCGGAGAGCTATGGAAACACTACGTCGAGAATATGAGCGTGAAGAGCAGGTTATGTTACTTCTTCGACATCCGTATTTAACATTGGTAAGTGCAGTTGGAAGCAATCATATTGTTAAATGGTATGTTTATTAGATGCTTCATTTTAATTTATTGCAGGAAGAGTCTCATGGTCATGTCAAACATTTGCAGAAATCCGAAGTTAAAATTACGAATTGGAATGATGCAACAACGTTAAAAAAGATGAAACCTCATGTTACCTGGGAAGATCGTTTGAATCATTTAAGAGTCAAGGAATCATGGGACTAATCTTGCAACCGTTCTATTTTGTTTAGCGTTACAAATTGAATAAAATAATGCACATAAAAATGACGTATCTTTCGACTTGCTATAATGGCTTCTCAAGTTTTAATCGCACTAAATTTCTTATACGCAAATTCAATGAGCTTCTTGTCTTGGGAGAGTTGATATCTAGCACGTTCGTTGAGAAGAGCCAGTCTGTTGGAATTTCGAGGGGTGCTAATCAAGAACATATGTTTAAAATGAGACGTTCGGAACTTAGGGGCCGCTCGAATCTCTTAGAAAAACGGTTGACTAACGAAAAGAAGAAACTCGCTTTGCCTAGTTATGTACCCATAGTAGATATATTTTCAATTTCATCTTTAAATAAGGAAGACACTATATATTAGTTTCGTCTTTTTTTCTTTTTATTATTAAATTTTTTTTGCATTTTATAACTTGGTTAATACATAATATATTTTGAATATATTACTATTTTAACTTATGAACGCGACATGACGGTTAAATCCCCTCTAGTCACGTTAGTAATTACAACTTAGAATTATAAAATTATAAACTTCTGTCTACTGTCGCCATGATATTTCTCTAGTTTTAATCCATCGCACATATGTAAAATATCTAAAAAACAAAAAAATCGTTTGTTTTCTTTCATACTAAAATATAAAGTACAATTTGTAGTTTAATTTTCAATTTCTTTTCAGTTTTTCAATGATACGTGTAAAACATGCAGACTGTGTAAAAAGAGCTTTCATAACGCAATATTCAAAAAGGGAAAAATGAAAGTAATAGCATATGAAGGTAGTAAGTGAAAACTATGACAGATAATTTAGTTCTTCTAATAAAAAAACTTTTTATTTATGTGTTTGCTGGCGCAACATTAATTATGAAATTTTTCTTCAACTTTATGCATACTTTTATTACGTTGTACATTACGTATGTATGTACTTGCACAGCATATATAACAATAGCTTCACGTAATGGTAATAATAAAACAAGACCTAAAACTATGGACCATATAATCCGGCATTGTTCTGTTACTTTCACTTATAGGATACATTTACTTGTTTTTGGACCGAATCGTTTAAAGTTTCACTAGTTTCATATAATTGGTAGCCAATGGATTATCATTATTTTCTTCTTTTCTTTTTCTTTTTTTTTGAAAGCTTAAAAGGTATGTCAGTTATTACCTTTTAAATTGATTACCAAAGAATTTCTCACCTTTTAAAATAAAACACAAAATCAAATTATAATTAATGTATAGGTATAGGGGGGGGAGGGAGGAATTTTGTTTCGTGTCAGAGTGGTTCGAGAGTACGTTTTGTTATATTAAGCACTTGCTGACGATTATAATAAGTAGACCGCTGTAACGACTCCAGTTATAGAGGCCACTACCACCACCACATTGTTCACTTAGTGCTCGACTCAATCTAAGCCGAGATATCAGGCGTCATCTAAAAAATCGGTAGTAACTGGCGCCACTACTAGCGGTTTGTCTTCTATATCGTTTTCCGCTTGTTCGTTTGATTCGAGCAAATCTTCTACTTCTGCTGTCTTTTGTTCAGCCGCAGGATCTGTTTCATGGGTAGTAGTAGCATTGATGATAGTAGCGGCAACTGGCAGTGGTGGTGGCGTAGTGGAAAGCAACACAGGCGAAGTGCTAGTTGCTGCAGCACCATCACCTATACCCCTTTCTATTGACATTGATGGCGGCGTCATTGGTGATGTGGGTAAAGAATCTTGTGATTGCTGACTGAATTCTTGATTAGGACTTTCACGTGTAAATAAACCCATTTTAGACTCAGATGGTACTGTACCAGCAGCATTACTGTCATTGACGGGTACAGCGGGAGTGGCAGAAATGGGAGCCGGTGGACCGCTTACCAAATGAGCCGGGGCATGCTGGGGATGAGTATTGTGACCAGCAATGGCCGCCTGCTGTTGACTGTGAGCATGATAGCGCGGTATATCGGCTTTGCGCCATAGAGTAATTTCCTGCTGTTTGAAGTAACGTCTATCCTCGGTGTCCATTAGCACCAAGTTAAGGAAGTACTTAACCGAGAACTTTTTATTAATTTCACGCATAGTGGGCGTCAAATTATAACCAGCTAAGAAAACACGAATGGGTATGCTTTCGCCTTTAACCGGGGCACCATCCATAATCTCAAATTTGGTAATATTTTCATTCTCTGTAAACATATTCGGACCGGTTCCAGTGGATTCACGTTTTATGATTGCAATTTCCATGTGCTTGATTTTAATGCGAACCAAAAGAAAATATATTTTGCCAATAATCGTATCCTGTAAATGATATTTGCTCTTGTTATACTCAAACTCAATATGCAGGCAATCCTCAATGCCCACTTCCATTTTGATAGGATTATTAACGTCTGGATAACTGCATAGAGTATGTACAGCAATGTCTACTTCCTTGGTAATGTCACTAATGCGACGTACTATAGTCGCTCGCAAAAAATAACGTAAACGCACATTGGAGCCAGCATACACTTCAAATTGTTTCTCTACATTAGGAAATTCAAAGGGGTAGCTATTGTTTTGTATCAAATCACCAGGACGAGCCAACGCTTTGGCTAAACATTTAAATTCATGATGATTGCCACGATCATAGAATAATTCTATCTGACCAATAAATTCAATTTTGATGCCGTGATGTTCCAATTTACTTCCCGGTTTCTTAAGGGTGACATTAACCTAAAATTAAAAGAATGCCTTAAATATTTTAAAAATTGCCTTCAAAATCCTAATTCTTCGCATATGTTTTGTGCACTAATTAACAAGCAACTGGCGATAAACTAAAATATATGTTACCTCGCCAATTAAAAATAATAAATAATAAAAGCTGTCATATTAGTTTGTTATTGCCTATTTCGCCCTCTTATGATTTTAAAAATTGTAGTACACTTCCTACCTTTCCAGACACTGTTTCGCCATCATAATAAAGTAACATTTGTTCTATTTTACCATCCTCTCCCTTCACCTCTGCGGTTTTCCTGTTTTCGGCACCATCAAAAACAATATCGATTTCGGCCGATTGTCCAAAGCCCAAAAAATTCATAATTATTACATTCACTTCTTACAGCCACTAACTCTTGTTTCTGCAATGCTTGGAATGTTTTTATGTATACACACACAACCAGTATTATATAAATAAAATTCAACTCTAGATAATAGTAATTGCAATTTTTGGGCGTTTTGTTGCAAATAAAAAAAAAAAGAAAAATTATGAATTTATCCACTTCGTTTTTTTGATTAGTTGGTTGCAAATTTATATACGTGTTGCCAGAGTTGCGATTTTCAACGATTTTAAAGAAAATAGCTTTTACGATATAACACATTTATTAGGCCGAATTTCGTACATACCGTAAATACATATTAAAAATCTGCATAGTCTATAGACATTGTAGAAATATTTTGTGGGCACGCAATGTTTATTTCTCAAGCCTGTTAGCATAATATTTCTTCTCGATCGGTTTCATGTATAATCGCGTCGGCGAAGTTATTTATAAAAAGAGATAACCAAAACGAATTTTTTTACTGGGAACAGCTCTTCCAAATCCTCAACAATATCTCAGTTATATTAGCAATAATAATGAAATAAGGAAATCCCGTAATTCTATTGTCTTAAGAAAAATTTAATGGTTAGTCTATAAAGGTTGCTTTTGCTAATTTTTTTGGTCGGCCCGCTAATTCTTAACACTGCAAGACTAATTTGCTATTTTTTCTTACCGATAATTGGCAAGTTTAAAAGAAGAACAATGAAGATGCCTATATACTATTGCAGATATGAGCTGTTATGATTTGAACGGTTTTCCAAGCGGTATTGATTGACTAGTCAGCGAGGTCAATCAAATGGAAAATTTCATATTTTTAAAATTAAGAAATAACAATTGAAATTCGGCAATACGAAGAAATGAGAGTTTCTTTAATTTAATGGCATTTAATTGGCCCTTTCAAACGATTTACCCACGGCTTATTGAGGTCTACCAATTCGTAACGCCGCAGAATTCTTCCTTGATTTCTAAATTCTGCGAACTGTGAAACGATTGGATCGCGATTAGACGAAACTACTGAAATCACTCTGTCCTGACTGTCTATGTAGTACGCGACAAAGTTTAATTTCTCCAAATCGCCTTCGATTATAACGTCCTTAAAAAGACCAAAGCCAGAACAGCGTAAAGTCACATTAAACAGCGTTGTCGTATAATAGGGCACACTACGAACTTCGATTTTCCTTGAACCGTGCATATTTACCCCAGCTACATAGCCGTGATTTTGGGCCACCTGAATGTGGCCGATGTTAGAGCGATGATTATAATCGGAATAAACAGGTGCATTGGCGATATCACCGCCTACATAGACATCGTCGACAATACTTTGTAAATATAAGTCAGCGTCAATCGAGCCATTAGCGTTAATTGGCAAACCACAACCGACTAAGAATTTAGTATTAAATTTTATCCCAGCTGCGATTATCAAAACCTTACAGGGTAACTGCCGATTATCATTCAGTCTGACGTGTGTAACTCCCAAGTCATTTCCTATAACTTCTAGGACTGCAGTTTCCATCATCATTGTTATCATTTTTTCCTTATACATTTTAAGAATGCGTTCACCAATTTTTAATCCGAATTTTTTTTGCATTGGAATTTTCGCGCGAGACACAACAGTAACCTGATAAACATTAAAATAAACAATTGGTTATGTTGCTTTAATAGTTTGACCGATTGAACTTACGCTGCATGGCATATAAGTTTTTATTGCTTGGGCTATTTCCATAGCTAAAAAACTTGAACCTACGCAAATCACAGGTGTATTCTTACCGATAGCCTTTTTTAGACGTCTCCAATCGTCAAAATTGCGCATAGTAAAAACATTGTGGTAATTGAAACCTTTGATTGGTATTTGTTTCGGACTACTGCCGGTGGCAATGTACATTTTGTCATAAAATAAACGTTTATCATCTTTCATTATTACCAGCTTCTCCTCGACATTTGCTTCAATTGCTTTAGAATTTACAAACACCTCTATGTTGTGCTCATCATAAAATTGTTGTGGACGATATTGTATATCATCAAATTTCAAATCAAAACGCCTTGAAATCCTCGAGCGATCGTAAGGCAAATATGATTCTTTACATACTATCACAATACGGCCAGTGAAACCTTCTTTGCGTAAAGTTTCAGCACACACTTGCGAAGATGGGCCCCCACCAACTAAAACATATGTGAGAGGATTTTCTGGATCACGTTTAGCCATCGTTTTTAAACGTCTCGTGCTTTCAAGATCTTTTAATTTTGCCTGCACCATAACTAAACCACCTCTCTCGACTTCTACTTTATAGCACGGTAACGAATCGAGTCCGGGACACTCTTCAATATCTCCAGTTTCAATGTTGAAACAGGCTCCATGCCAGGGACAACGGATGCGCCCGTTACCCAACACGCCAGTGTGCAACGGAGCGTCGTAATGCGTACATGTATTACCTAAAGCATGGATTTGGCCACCGTACTTGGCAATCAAAACTTTCCTGCCATGAATAAACTCGAATTCTTTCATTTCATGTTCACGCACATCCTTAGCATGACATACGGCTACTGGTTTAGTGTATGCTTCAATTACGGGTTTCTCTTGCATTGCCCGAAGATAGCCAAGATCTACTTTAAACGGTTCCATTTTCTTTCAATTTCATTCTTTTGAATAAAATTTCTTTTGACAATCATTTATTTACATGAAATTCAAAACACCCGAAACCGAACTATGTACTTTGATTTGCTTCTAATTATATGTCAAAAATGTACTGTAGTACATCCGAAATTAATCGCATCGCGGTCTCATGGCGGTTACATACCGCAGAAAATGATGAATATATGAAAATTGTTCGAAATAAAAGATGGACATGAGATTGCAATCTTCTTTTTGAGTTCGAAAACTTTTTAAACCGAAACGATAGACAATGTACGGACCTTTGCAACTAAAAACGTACTATAAGTGAACAAAAAATAAACGAGTACCCCCTAGACATACAACACAATACATTTCTTGTCGCATTTTGTGCTTGTAGTTTACGAGATTTTCATGCAAATCCGTATAATTTTTACTCTCTAGCATTTCGATCAATATATATGTTTTCGTAGCTCTGTCTGGTTGCCATACAAGCCTAATTTTTAAGATATAGTAAAAGAAAACACAACTGAGCCATTTCGCGCACAAAATAATTCGAAATCTATATTATTTAATATCGTGAGAAAAGTTAAAGCTATAAAGGAGAATGTTACAATGCCATCAGATAGGCCTTGAGCAGGGAAGAGGTTGCAAAACACTGTAGCTGCTCGCATATGCTAGCAACACGCGCTGCAGTGTTGGTGTAAAATAGATCGCATATAGGAGATCTCTGTCAGCTATTCGTCAAAAATAATTTAACGTAAATGTTCCCTATAACGCAGTTCACAAGCATAAGTCCTTGCCATTATATGTGGCGTTATATGATGGACTAGAATCACGAGAATGTGTGTTTGGATGTCATCTCTCTTCCCAAACTCAAATCGAATGCTTGTGAGCGCACAATATTTGCATTTCGTGAAAAAAAGATTTTGGTGGATGCATAAAACTCGAATCCTCGAACTCTCATTGGAATCATCTAGAAGAAATATTGTCAAAGGACTTAGATAATTACTCAGTCTGATCAGATAGTTTGAAGAAAGACGTTCAATCCGATTTGTAATAGATCGAAAAAATCCAGGTCATCATGAATAGTTTTGAAATAGTAAGGAAGCAATAAGACAACAAGTCCGGTTGATTAATATTTTTGAAGCGTTTCAATATTAGAGTTACTGCCTGTTCTCCACAATTGTATGCCATAGAATAAATTGTAGATTCTGGACGAATGGGTCAATAGAGCCTTTCGGGCTTCAAAAATCAAATTGTTGACGTTTATGTTTCATATGAATTTTCCAAGTTAATTTCTGTTCAAGGCATTTTACACAGCTGCCGAAACGGATGCTATTGATTAAATATTTTTGGAATATATTTGCAACAGATTTCTTGAAATGAAGTATAAATGAAATGTACTACCAAAGTTCATTGACACAACTATCTTCACTTCAATTGAATCATGGTCACACCATGGAAATCGTGGGAAGAGAAAAAAAATTGTGACAAAAATTCCACTTTCACAAGACGCTTTGGAAAAATAATAATAAAAAAATTTGCCGCGATCGATCTTGGACTCGCCTACTATTGATGCTGATACTGAGCAAAGGATTTTTAATCTGTTTTTTGTTAACAAATTTGCTCATTGCATTAGTTGCCCCCAAAGCGACAAAAGCCATGAAAATTTTTTTAAAAGAATCTTAATATTATGAAATCCGCTTAATCTCGAGAACGAATCAGAGCGGTTAAGCTAATCATTTTTTATACCCATTACCGAGGGATGAAGAGCGTTTGCAACGTTCAGAAAGAACCTTCAAAGACCCCACAAGGTACATACACATTCGTGATCAGCATAAAATTTTCATTCGATTTAAGCACGTCCTTCGTCCTTCTGTCCGTCTCGGTAACCTCTGTTGTAAACATTCTCCTGATCGCAAAAAAAGAAGTTATCGAGTTCAAATTTGGCAAAAACACTGAAACCTCTTGCGCGCAGATTGGTATTGCAAATGGGCTAAATCGTTCAAAGGGCACGCCCGCACTACAGTATAAAAATAGGGCACATCACATACAGTATAAAAATAGGTACATAAAATGGGCACATCTCCGTTTTTCAAAAGTAATAGAAATTTATTTTTTATTCATTACACACAAATTGCAGCAGACAAATTTACAAAAATTCGAACGTATATTCTATGGGCGATGCTGCGTTACCGGTATAAAAGTGAAAGAACTCGGCCACGCCTACTCAACTTTGTAAAGTATTATAATTTCATTTTATCGCAAAATCAAGAATCCCATAAAGTATATAAATTCTTACTCACTTTCAGATTGCGCGTGCACCGAAACATGAACGGCCGCCCACTTTTCCGCATGCTCATCTGTGTTGTTTCGGTGGTAAACGTTCTTATCGTCTAGCGCAACCGAAGCGCAATCGTCTACAAATTTGCAAAAGTATTTGAAAGAGATCTAAAGTTTTCACAGGACACGCCTATGCAAAAAAAGCTCTTCTTTTAAAAATAGAAAGAATCAGCCGCGTCTACTTCATATTAGAGCGCATGAAAGTTTAGTTCTTTGACTTTTTTTATCTGTTTAGGATAACGGGGATGGGCGTTCTTACTGGTTTTAATCTCAAAATTCATTCATTCTCGATTGAACACTTTCTGTGATGTTTTAAAATTTTTTGAATCTAATCTACGAATTTAAAAATGTCTTGCATATCAATTTGTGGGCGCTTCCATTAACTTTTTTGATCCCGTAGCTTCGGAATTCAGCAATGGCATTGTTAGGGCCAACAAACTAGTAAAATGCAAATCAACTCATGCTAAATTATCTATACTTTCTTACACAGATTTCATGAATCATAAATAAGCGATTTATATATATCTTCACTTTCTGGACAATAATTGCAAATCGGTGAAGTAAATTTCTTAAGGATCTATTGGTCTGTTGCAATGGTATGACCAACATAAGGACAAGAAATGCGTAAATGAACTGACATGTTGTTGTTCATAAGCACTAGAATTACTGAAGCTATTAAAATGAGTTTTTTCGTTAATCGAATTTTCAAGAAATCGCTCAGAAATATCCAGCGTACCAGTAACTTTTAATTACATCAAAGGACTTTTATATAACAAAGCACGCGCTCCCCCAAAATCTAAGAGACAAGGTAGATTGTATTCTCTCTCTCTCTCTCTCTCTCTCTCTCTACACTTTTGAGTGCTTATCGAACAATAGTATATATATATATATATATATATCTAACATTCCTTCAAAAGAGAAAGGAACTTCGTAAGACTATCTTTGCGGTGAATAGGTTAATAGGAAGAGTTTTTCCAACTAAGAGATAACTCGCGGCTTGTCTCATTCTCAGACAGGAGGAATTCTCGCCGATTCACTACATATGCCGGTTTTCGTTTTGCAATATTAATGCAACAAATCAAAAATTTGTTAATCAAAGAGTAATGAAAATATCAAGCCAGCAAATTATATTTTTTCTTGATTGTTTGTAATCACACGATGCTTTCACAATATGCATTTGTATATGTGTTTTAATTACAATAAAATATACTGTTATTAACCATTGATGTGGCTTTAAAAATACAACAAATCAAGTCTGCCCGAATATATTGTAAGAAATGTAAGTTAAGGCAAAAAGCGCGAGCGGATGTAAAAGAGAACACAAAATAATTAGTTTAAATGATTTGAATAATGATTATATAATTTAATTCGATTTAATTAATTTAGTCCACGCAATTGGATCGCTGGTATCTTGAAGATTTTTACGCGTTAGAGTACCGCCCTGACTTTGTAATTCAGCAAATTGTGCTACAATGGGATCGCGACCACATGACGCAACGCTTACAACTTTGTCTTCATTGTTTATGAAATACGCCACAAACTTCATACCTTCGAGATCGCCTTCGATAACCACATCAGAGAAGTCACCATGACCGGCAAAACGAAAACCTTTACCAAAAAGCATTGTAAAGAAGAACGGCACTGCTCGTAGTATCTCTGGCCGGCATTCGAACATATTAATGGCAGCTATACGGCCATGATATTGAGCTAGTTGATAATGACCTATGGCGGCAAGTTCGTTGTTAGAACTGTAGACCGGTGCATTCGCAATGTCACCCCCAACATAAATGCTTTCCATAGAGGATTTCAAATACATATCAGTATTAATGGAACCATCGGCATTTATTTTTAAGCCAGAACCCTCCAAAAATTTTGTATTCGGCTTGGCACCAGTTCCCAATACCAATAAATTACAAGGCAATGTAGTGTCGTCGCTCAATATCACCTTTTCTACTTCACCATCTTTATTACCAAGTATTTCTTTAATGCCGCTATTCATAATCATGTTTACCTTGTTCTCGATAAATAAACGCAGAACTCGTTCGCCAATTTCATTTCCAAAACTTGCACTTAAAGGGTAGGCGCCGCGACCCACAACAGTTATCTAAAATAAAAAGAAAAATTCATACATTATTAATTATAAAATAAATTAAATATTAATTCGTAGCTTACGCTCGCAACTTGTTTAACTAAAGCTTGTGCGACTTCAAGAGCAATAAAACTGGAACCCAAACAAACAACATTTGACGTTTCGTTTACAAGTGCGCGTATATTCTGTGAGTCATCGTATCCGCGAACAGTTACAACATTTTTTAAATTGCTTCCATCAATTGGCGGAATTGTTGGGGCGCTACCGGTCGCGATAAACATTTTATCATATTTTATAGACATTCCATTCGAGAGGGTGACAATCTTCTTATCCCCACAAACCTTGGTTGCTTCAACATTTAACCAGGTCTCAATGCCATATTCATCATAGAATGCAACCTCGCGATACTGTAAAGCTTCAATTTTCGCATCAAATGATTTGGAGACTTTAACGCGATCGTATGGCAAATAAGGCTCTTTGGAAACCATTACAATGCGACCGGTAAATCCTTGCTGACGCAGTGTTTCGACACATACGCCTCCAGCGGGACCACCGCCCAATATCACAAAAGTACAACAATTATCTGGATCACGTTTAACCATATCCTTAAGCCGTTTAACAATTGCTATATCCTTTTCTTTTGCCATAACGGCTACGTTGCCGTCTTTCTTAATTTCTACTTTATAACAAGGCAACGAATCAAGTCCGGGAAAATCCTCTATATCACCAGTTTTAATGCTAAAGCAGGCTCCATGCCATGGACAACGTACCCGACCATCACCTACAACTCCGGTATGCAAAGGTGCTCCGTAATGCGTGCACTTAGGACCAACTGCATACAGTTGGCCCTTCTGTTTTATTAACAGCACTTTACTATTGTCTATAAAATCAAATTGCTTCATGCCATGATCTGGTAAATCCTTTTCATTACAAACGATAACTGGATCGGTATATTTATCAGACATTTCTGCTTCACACGTACTGTGATAAGAGCCCGAACCTGTGGTACCTAAAATTGCATCATAATTCATATAAAAATATAATAAAATTATTTAATAGAAAATATTCTTAACTAAAAGCAAAAATACAATAAAAATTTGATAGAAAAACGTCTCAAGTGAAACAAAAAAAAAAAAAAAAAAAGAGTATTTCTCAATACTAAACTTAAACATGAAAGATATACATGACGCATTGCGTTGCTATATGATAACTGGAGTGAAATAGTCAAGGTCAATTCAGTGGAAAGATTTAATTTATCGCATTTATATATAAAAAAATTGCAGATAAGACGTTAAAAAAGGGAGAAAAATCTTTTGAGAAAAACATATCTAAAGTCTAGAATGTACCGCATCTTTCGGACCTTTTTACACAGAAAATGGCCTCAAATTTTGGATGTGCTCGAAGCTAATATTAAAATTGACGTTTGAAAGGTGCGATAGCAATAGTTCAGATGAAACTAATACGAACGGTGACAATAACGAGTCCAGTGATAGTACCGAGAGTGAAGATGAACTCATTGTTGCTAGTAGGAGGTACGTTAAGAAAAAAAAAAATTTTTTTTTTTGATGCGAAAGTAATATTAAAATACATATCTCTAAAAATCGTCTTGTAAGTTTGCAGTGCGTCTTATAGTCCAAAATGTACGGTAATTAATTTATATATTCGCAAAAATGATGTGTAAAACTCGTAAGTGTTTGTTTGAAGGCGGCAGTCAACTATAACACCACTAAGCCTTTTTATTCAAAGCGAACGTAAGCCAAAAAAATCACATTCTTGTGCAACTGCAAAGAGAATTCCAAATCCATTATAGTTAAAAGTAAGATGATAGCAGATGTTCGGAAAATTCAATTCGTAAAATGAATTGTAAAATAAAAGCGCCTTCATAACGGTCCCACCAACATATGATATTCTATGAGACAGTTATAAGAGAGAGAGAGAGAGAGATATAAAATATATTCAAGGGACTTTAGGTGTTGGTTCGAACTTGACGCTTAACACTTTTTGGGATTTCGATTTTAAACAGTTATATTAATGGATGACCAGATACATAAAATCAATTAAGCCGTAATTGTTGACTTGAATTTTTCAATTAGTTAAAGAGTTCACGGGAAATGCTAGAAATGTAATAAAAAAAACTTTTCACTTTTAGAAATCCGTGCAAAATGATGACAACACCTGAAGGGAATTGTAAGAAATCCAAGATTTCTTTGAGAAATCTGCGCGAGGCGCTTTTGCGCAGGCGCTTTCACATTTACTTAAGTATTTATTTGAAAATTGATTCCCCCACAATCGAATACATTTTGTAGGAGAGATTCGGTGAATTATTTTAATTAATTGAAACCGCTTGCAAACAATAACCCAATTAATAATAACTGGATAACCTTGAATGCATGTATGTAACTATGTATGTATCTATTCTCTGTACACTTCCAAATGTCTAATTAAATTCATATATACATATATATATATTTATATGTATATATATATGTATGTTTGTTGTTGCATGGTGACTCGTACTCATTCATAAACACTCATGCAATACAAATCTAACACAAAAGTGTATATTTTTCGACATTTTTATATATAAAAATAGTTAATTGAAAGCATTTGTTAAACGTTTCGTATAGAAAATGAGTTTCGCTTAAGCCAATAAATATTTTATTATAGTTACTTTTTTACACTTTTTTTTTTTTATTTTTATTATTATTATTTTTTTTTTATTGCCGCTAAACGACTGCGCTCAGGGTTAAAAACTTACTAATCACAGTAGAGAATAAGTTATTTGTTTATATTGAGACTTGCGACCACAATATTCTCAATGTCAATACTGATGATATTTATCAACCCTTGGATAGTTGCCGTTAAGTGCAAAACAAGTTCAACTATTTTTTAAAATGTCACTTATATCGTAAAGCAATATACGTATGTCGAAAATCCTTAACATATGCTTTTTGCCGGATTTCATTCCAAATTTCATAAAGGCGAACACTTTTAAATCCCAACAAATCACTTTACATAATATAGAATGCACAATGCATTAAGTAAGTGCCTCTATTCAAAATTTGACCGACTAAGGAATGAATGGAACGATGTCATCACATTCGATGGTTGTTGAAAAAAAACAATCTTTTAAAGAGTTTGCTTTTTAGATGCATTCTATTATTTACGTATCCATGTAAAGATTCCCGCAAAGAAATTTATATATGTACAATTTTATAAGACGTAAGCAACAAACAACTGTAATAATAATTTTTTGCGCCAGAAATTCTTCACAGTAATCCTTTTCTCCTTATATACATACCGTTTTCTGTTTTATTTGAATCCACAACATTTGTTGTTGTATATTCCTTGCAATTAATGGAACCCATCGTAGTAAAATTGAATTGTTGTTCTTGTTGTCGCTGCCGATGAATGAATAACTGTTGCTTCTGAAAATGATGTCGACGTAACCTTGAGAATGTTGCACAAATCTTTGGCGTACGTGAAGGAATTGCTAGCGAGCAAAAGCTGTTGATTACATCGACGGGTAAGAATGCAGATACACCGAGAGCGAAAGAGAGAGAGAGAGAGAGAGAGAAAAAACAAGAGAAAAAAATAAGAAGAAATTCACATAAACGAGTAAATGGAAATTAATTATTTTTATAGTTTTCAATAAATTTGTTTTGAAGTAAAAAAGCATCTGTATGCGAAGCACTAACCTTACTAATTGCCTTCTATTTCCATGCACTTCAAGTGTTCTTGCTCTTCCAAATACCGCATTCGCATTTGAAAGCGATAAATGTGGAAAACCCGCGACGACGAGGTTAATCACACCGCATTCAAATGGCGCACGCGATATTGCCGTAAACGTTACCCTAATGCGAGTGATGATGACATCAGAAGAGAACATTTACGAATAATAAAAATGATAAGAATAATTGGTAAAATTATTTAACAAATGAAAAGTAAATATTAAAGAAAGTGTGTGTACACACACGTCAAACCTCTTTAATTACAATTTCGTTGAATTTTTTTTTTTTTTTTTTTGATTAATGGATATTTAAAAGGAGAGTATATCGCAAAGCAAAAAAGGCAAACGTCTTCATGGATCGTTCGTCGATTAATAACTGATAGCATCATATGTTAGTGAGTGAGTGAGAGCTTGATTGCTACATGGCATGGTATTCATGCAAATAATGCAAAGAATACTCTTCGGCCAACGATCAAGCAAATGACGACCTGGCTGAAATTCGTAGCTCGTTTAATTTGGCTGAATTGATTTAGTTCAAGAGATATAAATAATGGCTTATACACTTAAGCGTGTACATGCATGCACATCACATTCAGAGAATTAGGCGATTTATGCATCCCTCAGCAAAAGGGTAAATAAATTCTCTCATTACGTTCGCATTGTGTGTTTACTTGTAAACCTACACTTTTTCATTGGTGCACTTTCAAAAAATGGATATTTGCTTCCCATGTCGTTCGTTGAAACTGTTTGAAGACTTGAAGAAAAATTTCGCCAATTGTTCACAAAATTACGCGACAAATACATCGCAGATATGAAAATGGCGCTTAATCATAAAATATCGAAAATTGCTCATTGTTGCCATGTAAAGGTTTATTTACCCATAAGAAAAATAGATCTATTTAGTCCAAGCTTACCATAACAAATAATCAAACACTCATTGTTACTAACATTCCTATCACTGAAGGATGAGAGGTATAATCATTGTGACAGAACGTTTGCAACGCTCAGAAGGAAGTTTCAGACATAACACAAAGCATATATATATATATATACTCTTGATCAGCGTCAAATTCTGAAAGGATTTAAGCATATCCATATATCCGTCTCTACTATTATAGATGTTATGTGAAACAAATTTTTCACTGTCTAACGTTGATTGGCAAAAAAAATGAGAAAAAATGGTTTTTTATTATGTTACATGGATATATGAATACCTTAGATAGAATTGATTGATTTTATGAACACGCTTCCATACAAGCACTCTTAACAAAATATTGCCATTGCATGATAACTATGCCTAATCGTTAGTATGTTATGATGAATATTGAGATAAAATAGTGATTGAATGAATAAATTTTGCTGTGGTAAGGTTGGACTACATCGATCTGGTTTTCGAACTCCACGTCATGCAAGGATTTTCATGAAAACTAAGCCTTTCTATGGCAACAAGAAAAAAATTTTTGATACTTAATAACGAAAGCAGGTGAAGCATTATATAGGTCATGACTGTATTTAAATGTAGGCATTTTTAGTTCGTTGCGAAAGCAAACCTTTATAATACTTGGCATATGCCTTGGGCAATTATGAATAAACCTGCAAATTAAAATATTGGAATCAGCCAGAGTGGCCGAAGGCGAGTAATCTCGACTTAGCAACTCAATGGTCGTGGGTTCGAATCTCAAGTGCGATACAGTTTTTTAATAAAAGCCAATAGCCTTAGAAGGCTAGTGATTTAAGAGTTTAGTCTTAGAATTTATTTCCCTGAATTATTATTTAATAAAAATAATAATAATAAAATATCGAAACTTTTCTGCTTAGTTCACTATCCGCCGAATAAACCTTTCGTGAAACTAGAAAAAACTAGGTTAGATTATTACATCTGCGTCATGTTTTTTTGATAAACTTTGCATTGAGCGTTTGACTTTTTGGATTGGAACTGAACGTTCTCGTCGATATGATCTTTGACAAATGACTTCTACGGTTCGAAAATCTGCGCTTTATTTACCCACCTTTTTTTATCAATTTATCGATCTGCTTAAGGCGAATTCTTTGCTAATTTCGTTCGCGATTTTCCAAAGGCGAGTAAAATGAACTGGGTTTTGTTTTGCGGATAATGGATTTAGACCGCTGCCTGCAGCAAGAATTTTAACGATAATTTTCCTTTTCTGACCATATTGCAAAGAATTCGTTAACCGACTGTAAATTTTAAGGCAAAAGCTAATTAACTTAATACAAAATAATCAAAATTCAAAATTGCGTTTGTGTGTGCTATATTTGTATGAACAAATCCAGAATATGATATAAAATATCCGCGACGACTTAGAAAGAGTGAGAGAACACAAAAGCCTAACCGTAACTTTTTTATATATTAGTTTGGGGAAAAAGAAATCAATTATTTTTTCGGTAGATGGCTGCACTGATAGATTTCTCGAAAACGATCGTGGTCAAAGAGCGGTGAAGCACCTCAAACGGCCAGGAAGGTTTTGCTATGCATTTGGTGGGACTGGAAGGGGATTATTTATTATGAGTTGCTTCCATATGGCCAAACGCTAAATTTTGATCTCTACTGTCAACAACTGGACCGTTTGAAGATAGCGATTGCCCAGAAACGGCCAGAATTGGCCAACAGGGGAGGTGTCGTGTTCCACCAGGACAACGCTAGGCCACACACATCTACAGTAACTCGCCAGAAACTTCGGGAGCTTGGTTGAGAAGTTTTAATGCATCCGCCATACAGTCCGGACTTGGCACCAAGCGATTATCATCTTTTTCTTGCATTGGAAAATTTCTTTAATGATAAAAAATTGGAATCTAGGAAGGATTGTGAAAATCGACTCCTAGAGTTTTTTGCAAATAGAGACCAGGACTTCTATGAGAGAGGCATTTTGAAGTTACCTTTAAAATGGCAACAAATCGTACAACAAAACGGTGCATATTTGACCCAAATCGGACAATCCGAAGCATGTTAAATAAAGTCCTGAAGTTCATATAAAAATAATGGATTTCTTTTTCTCCAAACTAATATATTTCTTAGTTAATTGAACAATTTTTACAATGCCTTAGGATTCAATTTACGACATTTATGCGTCCCTACCGGCAAATATGTATTTTTATAAAGAGAACAGGCGCATACACTTAAATCGATTAAGTTATTTACATAGATAATAAAAAAATATACACTTTATCGGGTACTAGGGGTATTTCGTTGTATTGCAAACATTTAGGAAATCTAATCATGAGTCTGTAAAAGATACAACAAATGTACAAGTTATATTCATCTGAAAAGGGATATCTGATTCCGGTGTGTTAGAAAAACAATATATTTTGTCAAGCGTGTAAGTGCTAATCGATCTGCTACTCGTATTTATACGGGTTTTATACCCACCATTGAATTGATTAAGTCATGGGCTGACTCTCTGTGTGTCTGTGTGTGATGTTTGCCGTTGACAATCGCTTGGTCGGGCAAAATGAACATATCGATTTGATAGAAACATTGAAAGCTTTTGCACGCAGCTTGGTACTGAGAATGGGCGAAATTGTTGAGAGCAGAAGCCTGCGGGGGAGTATAAACTGAACAAAACTCCGTTTTTCTTAACAAAAATTAGTGGGTTTTCACTCATTACTCAGAAATTATGAAACTTAGAGGGCTGATAATTTTCACATTGACTTTACGAAACATTCCACTCTTTACGTGCAAAAATGGAAAAAATCTATCATATCCATATAGAAAATAAAGGTAAAAATGATAAAGATATGGGAAATACCAGCGTACATAACGGTTGAATTCGACGATTTTGACCTTTCTCTACATAACACAACAGTTTCCAATTTAATATTATTGATTTATTCTGTGTACGGCAACGCTATTCATGGAGCCCTCAAAATTCCTCTTCTTCCAAATTCACTGCTTTTCTTGTTTATTTATAGGAATCTGCTGCCGAAACCCACCGAACACGTTCAGAGACTTATGGTGATGCTTGTCCTTTAAATCCCAATTGTTAGTTTTAGGTTCAACGGTCTTTTCTTGGCCACTTTTTGCAAGAGTTGTCCAGGATACACGGTTGTAGGTCGAATGTGAAATTCTGCCACATCTAGCGCATTCACCAGACATGGTGCCAAAGTTGAAGAACCGCGAAAACGGGACGGTGAGTAGATTGTTGACCAACCAATGCAATTTCTTTCGACATTATATCGGCATATTGCCAAAAGTATTGTAAAATGGAAACTATTATATATATATACTGTACCAACTTTCCACAACAAATGTTTTTTTAGGTGAAAAAGTGATCAAAATTTTTACAAGCACCTAATAAAGAATAATTAAAGAATAAAATTTGCAAATTCCGGAAAGGCTGTGGAAAATTCTTTCTGATTTTTTGCTTTATATAAGGCAGGTGCCACTTTTACATCAAAAATATGCACATATATAGATGGCGTTCGCAAACAAAGACATTAAATCTGTGCCATTTTAAGTATTATTACTAGAAAATTCATCTGGTCCACCTTGAAATGGAGCCTTGTGATGAAAGGCTGGTGAATGCTAAGCTAAGCGATAGTTATGGAAAATTAAAGATCTACTTTTGAATACATATTATGAATGCGGAGTAACTTTTCTAATTAAACGAACAGTTGCTAAAAAACAATTTTATGCAAAGAGTTACTTAACTAAACACAATGTTGTGAATTCACCGTAACACTTGCAGATATATTTCGAATGCAAATATACAAAACTTTACATATACACATATATTACTTAATTTCTAATTTACCATTTACTTTGTAAACATTTTGTATGCTAATTAACTTTTATTTAACATTTCGCATCCAATTGCAGTCATCAATCGAAAGTGGCGAAAATTTCACGTTCTCCCACTTCCTTCTCCAATCAACAATAAAACTATATAACAATTACGTGTGTTATGTGTGTTCCTAAGTAATAATAAAAAAAAAAACATCTGTTAAGAAATAAAATTAAAATGTGGCATTGCCAGGTGTTTTAAAAGTAATTATACAACAGTGGTTCGATTATATTAATTCTTTATATGACGTATGCAGAGATATATGAAAAATATTATAATTTAAATCGGCATTCCCGAAATATTAATCTGATCAATACAAGATAGAACATACCAGTTTAGAAATGATAACATTCCCGCATCTTTTTATTATGCATATTTGATAACCATATTAAAACCATATTCGTGATACATTCCGTTTTGACATTCTGCCTTTGCAAAATATATGTATAAATTTTATGTTTTAAAACGGTACAAACATTGCGCTTTTCATCTTTCTTGATATATAAATAGAACTGAAAATTTATATCATTGGTTAGGTACATTAGACATTATGCTCCTGATGCTTTGGGTGAGTAAGATGTTGGTTGGTTTTTTGTTTTTTCATGAAAAAGAGCAAAATCACACAAAGAATATTTTTTCATTAGTTAGTTTTCCTTTTTAGTTTAACTCTTTGTGAAGAAGACAATACGAGCGCAAACTTACGTTATTATTGATTTGTAAATACATTTAAAAAGAAGAACATTAAAAAGTTACGCTGTGTGAAATCTCTAGCGTTTACAAAGCCTTTAAAACGCAGAAGATTCAGTTTCAAACTACAAATACATGATATCTGATAACATTTGCATTGACCGTTTAGGTAAAAAGCAATTTATGCAAATAAACAAACGAACCTACACCAGGGCTGCGGTACCGAACAAAAATTTATTATTAGCTCGAGTCATAAGTAATTACTAGATATTCATTTTGTTTTCATTAAATAGTAAAATTATATTAACTTAGCAGTTGATTGAGATATATTCAGCCATTTTCTCAATATCGTCTTTAAAAATTTGTCGTCAAACTAAGAGAAATGTTCTGTCTTTTAAGGTCTTAGCTTTGTTCAATTTCTTAAAGCATTACATGTCGAAAAGTGCACTTTTTGACTCTCCATTGCAGAGGTTGAAAAAGACCGTTGAATGTAACATGCACCTCATAAATTTACTTTTTTTTAAATTCATATATATATATATATATTTTTTTTTGGTTTGTTGAAAGAAGATGGACTAAGCCAATAGATTTGTGGTTTATATGTTCAGATAATAAACTGTCGTAATTTTTGGTCACAATTATGTACAAAACGTAACAAAAAAAAGAGCGGCCGTAATAACTGGAGTCAGCATGTTAAGTGTTTTAATTCATATAAACCCAAATTGAAATCAATTTCTGATATTCGGCAACATTACTTAACAGCTGCTGAACGCAGATATTTCAATTTTCAACACTTCTATTATTAAGCAGTTACTTTTCAACAAAATGGATACTGGAACGTCTAGAGCTTCTCGTAAGACGTGGGAGTTAGAAAATAACATTAAAACATTACCCAGCTGTGATGAAATATTCCGCTATGACGCAGAGCAGCAGAGACAAATATTAGATGCTAAACCATGGGAAAACGATCCTCATTATTTTAAAGATATAAAGATTTCAGCTTTATCACTTTTGAAAATGGTTATGCATGCTCGTTCAGGTGGTAATCTAGAGATAATGGGTTTATTATTGGGTAAAGTAGAAGGCAATACCATGGTAGGAAATTTCTTTGAATTCGGTGTTCTGTTTATACAACTTGAGTATCTATATACTTTCAGATTGTAATGGACGCTTTTGCTTTGCCTGTAGAGGGCACAGAAACCCGTGTCAACGCTCAGTCCCAGGCCTATGAATATATGTCAACTTACATTGATTCTGCTAAGGAGGTAGGTCGATTAGAGAATGCTATCGGCTGGTATCATAGCCATCCCGGATACGGTTGTTGGTTATCGGGCATTGATGTTAGCACCCAAATGTTAAATCAGACCTATCAAGAACCGTTTGTAGCTATCGTAGTTGATCCAATACGTACAATGTCTGCTGGCAAGGTGTGTTTAGGCGCTTTCCGCACATATCCTAAGGGATATAAGCCTCCTAACGAGGAGCCATCAGAATATCAGACAATACCGTTAAATAAAATCGAAGACTTCGGCGTTCATTGTAAACAGTATTATCCTCTGGAAGTTAGTTATTTTAAATCAGTACTTCATCGTAAACTTATGGACTCGGTCTGGAATAAATATTGGGTCAACATTTTGGGCACTTCAGGACTCTTAACTAATTCCGATTACACTACAAGTCAAATATTTGATTTAGCTGAAAAATTAGAGCAAAGTGAAACCAGTTTGGGTCGTGGCTCTCTTCTAGTGACAGGTAAATTTTGTGCTAATTAAAAAAAGGAACACATTTTTATTAAGCATTTTTTTGCTCTTAGGAGGAGACGTTAATGAAAAACGTACCGATGATAAATTAACCAAAGCTACACATGACAACAGCCGGACCTGCATTGAATTAATACACGGCCTAATGAATCAAATTGCCAAAAATAAGCTGTTCAATAAGGTTGGTTTGGCTAAATAAGCTTTTTGAAGTTGATCCTCGCCGTTATAAATATCTAAATAAAATGAAAAAGTAACTTTGAAGAATGGAAAGACCGATTTTTTTTTAAATTTAAAATCTTTCAAACGTCTTTGTAAATGTAAACCATTAGTTTAAATTATCTCCAATTAGCGCATAAGAATTAGCAAAAACGGCAAAAGAGATTTGGTTACGCGCTGGCAATCGTTTTTAAAGAATTAGTTTCGATCGCTGCAAAGCTTTATCTTAGAAAATGGATTTGAGGTCTTGAAATTTTGTTTTTGAAATAATTCTCCACATTGGTCTGTCCGTAGTTTTTTTTTATTTCTACACGAACAATGAGTATACATTTTCAAAAAAGCCGAAGTTTTCTCGACAAAATTAGCACAGTTTTTTTTAAAAAAGCTACTGTTCCTTTGACAAAAGCTAAGTAAAGTTGCCATTTTGCATATGCTTTTGGGAGCAGCTTTATAAGCTGCTTATTATATAAATAATAAATAATAAACCATAAGTTCAGAATAGAGAAATCACAGAGTTGTTTTTAACATTTAATTTATGCTGCAAATGTGAATGAATCTAAAAAAAAGCTGGAGTAGTGTTGACAAAACTAAACAAAGGCTGCTGATAAAATGCTGATAAAATTAAATAAAAGCTGGAGTAATGTTGATAAAACTAAGCAAAAGCTGGAGTAATGTTGATAAAAGTAAAAAGTGTTATTTGGTTGATAAAAATTGCCTTGCAATATGATATAATTTCTACACTTAAATTTACAATGCGTAGCTTGCTCATCATGTCCTAATTGTCGTTTTTAATCTTTTGAACGGCCTTCATCCGCATCTCCCAATTTTCAGAAACTCACTATTTTCTATCATATTTGACATTTTTTCCTTTACCAGTTTATTATAGCGAGTGTTCCGAAGTTATTGAATAGTAGTAAAACTTATTGTTTTATTCTTCGTCAACTTTTAATTAAACTAATGCATGTTAAAAATGCAAAAAAAAAAAAAAAAATCCGAGGCTCTCCTCAATCAATTTTCTTATACCTCTAAATAACTTCTTGCTATAGTAATTTGAACGATATAAAAGTCATATTAGTATTAACATTAACATGTATGCCTTAATGTGATATATTTTAACGTTAAACTCTATTATTGGTTGTGTGAATGAGGGTGTCTTTTACATTCAATCCATCCAATTTCTATATATCAAGTGCTTTTCAAAGCTTCGTACGTTTTAGTAATTCATTGTTATTCATTATCAAATCAATTCAACATACACCCCCACAAACTTAATAGACCCTTGTAGATGTATAATGAATGCTTTAAGGTAATTGGCAATTCGTTGCATGGAGCAAAGCGCACGCACTGCTTATGAAGTCTACACAAGGATATGGAAATTAATGAACTAATAGAGCTCATATATAATTTAGAGCATATATAATTTAGAAAAGTTACACAAGCTCTTGGACAGTAAGCTGAGTTTAATATTTAGTTTTTATCTGGGCACTAAATAGGTATAGCTCTTAACCAACAAAGGCAGAATTCTTGCCATCAATGCCAGCACTTTTAAGGTTTTAAATAGTGGTAATTCTATCTTTTACCGTTTATCGGAGTTATCGAAGTTTATCGCTTAGTGAGTAGTGACGTGGATCTAAGTGCCTCTAATTCAACTATTTTATCATTCAACTGAAATACTGCTAATGTCCCAGTTGTCAAAAGTCATCTCTCTCACTTTATTTCAAAGTTCCACCAATTCTCTAAAAGAGATGGAAAATTCCTAGTGGACCGTCTGTCCAAAGTTAACGTGCCACCCAATTTATCATCTTTTCAAAGTATTTTTCAATCTGAGATCAAGTCTGCTAGAAACGGTCGAAGGAATGAAGATCCGTTTTGAGAAAGGCTAGAAGGGCGCATACTGCTCTCATGATTGAAGAGCTGTGTGGCAATAGCAACTCGCGTTTTTAGTCAAAAACTCAATGGTTGCGCTGTATGGAACGAGCATGATAATGAAATATACTCGAAAAGCTATATTGTAAGTGACAAACAGATTACAAATCCTTCTAATAGTCTCAATAATACGCTTATCGCATTACGTGAGTTATTGTATGTTTTATATTTCAGTAGAAGAGCTACCGCTACAGCTTGTGAAGGAGTTAAGTATGATATGTTCAGAGCACTGTCTGGAGAAACTGTCTTAACTATCCTGTTCTAAGCAATTAATAATTGGTGGTCTATTAAGTTGATACCCGTAGACTTGTGGTGTATCAAGGTTGTTCCCATTGCTAAAGCAGGTAAAGATTGTCAATCTCATGGACAAGGAAAGACTAATGAATTTCCTGAAAATTAGAAACTTGTAGTATCCAGCTCGTTGCTGATAAAATGGCTGTTATGCTTACCTTGGACATCAACAAAGCGAACGATTGTGTCAACTTGATGAAGCTTGGTAGAATTCTCTTAAACTTTTTAATTCCTCTTCAAATACGTCTATGAATACGAAACTTTTTATTTAAGCGTGTGTTGGTCATGGGTAAAGACAAAATTGTAGTATACGGCGGTTGCTTGAGCCACTCACTCCTCAATCTATATACAGCTACAAATTAGCTGTATATAGATGCAAACATGATCTTCAAGACGACAAAACTCATACACGTCGTGAATAATCTCTCGATAAAAGCTAATCGGCATGCGCCGATCTGAATTTATATTTTAAATACTAGTTATTGTGTGGAAGGTTCGAAACGCGAAGTTAGCCTCTTTATCAAAGGCACTAAAGTTCATCAGGTGAAATCTCTTTGATTTCTTGGTAGAATTTTTTTAAATGACAGCCTAACACTTCGTGGGCATGACTAACAATCAGTCAGCTTTGCCTCTCCAAAATGCTTTGACAGTGTGTAAAGCCTTAGTCAGATCTAACATGGAATTTTCGCATTCTTTTTCTTCGTTCTTGTAATTTTCCAAAATCCCTTAAGAAACGTAAACAAAAACATGCGAAAATAAATTGTTGAAATGCTCTTTTTTTTTTTTTATTAAAATTGATTGTATAAATATATCGTTTATCAGCTGTGTTTTTGCAAATATTACTTCCAACACAAGTGACTTTGATCAATTACAAAATTATTTTTATTATTTTATTATATTTATTAATTATAGATAAACGGTTGTTTCGCCCATATTTACCCAAAAACACGATCGTTTAATGTTATCTGTTAAGAGGGTCACTGTTTATTTTCATTCACTTAATAAAATTTATTTATTTAATTGTTGTCTTGGCGGTGATGGGCATAGTCAGATCTATTTGCTATTTAGGGGCAATAAGTTTTCACATGTAACTAACTATCATAATAACAAATGTAAATTTTTCCGTCCTCCTCGCCTATTCATCAAGTGTAGATTTTAATTGTTGTTGAACTTACAGAAGATGTAACTGAATGTAACAAGTAAGACAATGATATTCTATCGTGACCGAATCTTTTCTACCCATCATCGTTATCCTAAATAAAATAAAAAGCTACATGGTTTATACTCTATGGTGTTGGATGGACGCGGTCTATATTTTCCACTTTCACAGTAAAAGTTTAAATTAAAAATTTATATGATATATGCGTTGTATGTTATGAGGAAGAAGTAAAAAATACGAAAAGCAAAGTTGTTCGCAATTATTTTTGTATAGGTATGCGGGCGGTTCAAATGTCTCCTTTGGCTAGTTTGAATCATTTTCAATTGCTTTTGGAAATATTGTAGATGATATCTTCATCTGCGGTTTACTGCAGATACTGAACCGTTGCGCGGGCAGATGCATGGACAGAAATTGACCAAGAATTTATACATTTTAAGGAATTTTTAAAGTTTACTTCTGCGTGTTTTAAAGATATGGCAAAAAAATAATTAAAATTTGTAATGTTGGATAGGCGTGGTCAACGTTTATACAAACGCTAGCAAACGTATAGCATCACCCATAGAATACGTAGTCAAATGTTTGTAGATTTATAAGCAAAACCGCAAATTTTTGGACTCGTTTTCAAAACCAGAAGTGTTTTCAATTTACATGGTACCGTAGCTGTGTTCTTCAACGGATTTGGCTCATTTACAATAACAACCTATATGCAAGATCTTCCAAAGTTTTTGTTAAACTTGAAGTTGAAAGCTTTACTTTTACGGGGTGGGAGAATGTTTACAACAGGCATCACACAGACGGACGTAAGGACATGCTTAAGTCGATTCAGAATTTGATGCTGATCAGCAATATGTGGATGTAGTTTGTGGCGTCTCTCAAGTTTACATCCTTTGGGCGTTGCAAATGTTTCGAAAAAATCTATATACCCCAGCATTCTCCGGCGACGGATATTAAAATTCATGTCAAAGAGCCATGTGTTTTGAGAGAACGTATAACTCTAGTGGAACCATATTGCAATAAAATGCGTTTAGGCAGGCAATACAAACAGTAAAACATATGTTTGATGGCACGTATATGAATGACCAGAAGCGATAATAACTTTGTCGCAAAAATAACATTTACAACAATTTCATTCCCATTCACATTCACATTCACATATTTTACATTGACTAATGAGCATAAATTGGCGAAAAGATAAGATATAATGCTATGTAATCTATATGAAGATTTTAATTGTCTTCTTCTGTTTCAGCAAATCGACAGCAAGCAGATGATTCATTATGCTGAGTTGTTTATTCTACCTTTTTTTTTTGTGCTTTCAGTAAAGTGTGAAAAGAAAAAGCGGCCAATGAAAATCAATGAGTTCAGTCCTTGGCTCAAAAAATTCCAGAAATTTTTTTTAGTGATGACGGAAAAATGACAAACGTTTATCAATCAAAATGGTAATTACTTCGTTTTAAGAAAGTTCTAGAACTGGAAACGAAAGTATTGGAACATTTCGAACATTTTTATGCATTACAAGCACTAATCAAATTTAATATGTCTATGCCTATGATCAATATAAAGGTAAATGCACTAAATACGTATGTATGTATGTATGTATGTATGTATGTATATACCATCGATGATTTTCTATATATGTTCAATTTATAACTTGTTTTGTTCACTTTTTTTAACAATGAGTTTGATGTTTGATGAATTTATTCCTTTAGCAAAGGCTTTCTTGTCTAGTCAGGAGCGAGTGTTTAGATGCACGCATTTAGGGATTACTCAAAATATAGATGTTTTCAATAAAGATAAAACTCGTATTTATACATCTGCTCGCTAACCCTTTCGCTTGTTCGCTTGATGCATGAATTGTTTGACACTGCCGCGTGGCAAAGCGTCTATGACGGTCGGATGACAAACACATAACGAAAGTGAATAATTATTGATTGGTATTGGACGAAAATTTGGCGGAAATATCTAATAGAATTATCTCTCAAGGGGAACGCATACGCAATTGGTCCCGACTGACTAACTAACGGATCCACAATGAACCGATTGGCTGTTTGAAGTGTTTCCACCCGGGTTGATATTATGGATCACAAACGTTTGTGCGCCAAGGCGTACATATACAAATATTTTACATAATGAAACTATTTTGTGCGATACGTTGTTGATTAACTTAAGCTTGACGCCTGTATGGCAATTGATAATCAAAAAATTAATAAAAAAATTTATACTGCGCTATGACCGAATCTTTCATCTCATCTTTCTAACTTTCCGCAGTTTCATAAAAAAATAATAATAATAATAGTAATAATAAAAAAAAAGAAAGAAAAAAAGAAAAGAAACAACTAAATTTTGATACTCTATAACATGAGGTGGGTGTGGCCGACTTTCTTCATTTTTTTAGAGGTACTGCAGGATTATCCACACCATTGATATATATGTCGTTGTATTTGTTATAGCTTGTGAATACTACTTTAGCAAAAAACTCAACTTGTTTTTCTTTTGAAAATGGAAATGCTATCAGCTATCAGCTTTATGCCCTTTGGCAGATTTAATAGATTAGTCGATTGATATATTAGTTTGGGGAAAAAGAAATCCATTATTTTTATATGAACTTCAGGACTTTATTTAACATGCTTCGGATTGTCCGATTTGGGTCAAATATGCACCGTTTTGTTGTATGATTTGTTGCCATTTTAAAGGTAACTTCAAAATGCCTCTCTCATAGAAGTCCTGGTCTCTATTTGCAAAAAACTCTAGTAGTCGATTTTCACAATCCTCCCTAGATTCCATTTTTTTTATCATTAAAGAAATTTTCCAATGCAAGAAAAAGATGATAATCGCTCGATGACCGGCCGACCTGTGCGAGGTGCATCTTTAACATCAAAAATTCCTGAACGGAATCTACGAAACCAAAATTGCACATAATTGGCTGTTACAGTATCGGAACCATAAACACCATTCACAATTTTAGCCGCCTGGCTTGCATTTTCGCCTTTGTCAAAGAAAAAACTGTAAAATGTACCGAATTTTCTCTTTGTTCACTTCCATTTTTAACACGCTGTAACTCACAACTGAATGCACCAAACAAAAAACAGCAAAAGAATTTTTTTTACTGCGAAATGTCACCTTTCCAACGAGCATAAATCTGAAATTGTTTGATTGATACTTTACGAGAAATCTATCAGTGCAGCCATCTAACGAAAAAATAATGGATTTCTTTTTCCCCAAACTAACATTAACTTTTCGACGGAGAGAATTGTTTGCCACAACCACAGTTAGACACAGATAGATGGACAGACAAACTTGCGTTTGATACTTATCAAGCATACGTAGTCTTAATTGAGTAACTGAAGCTTTCTTCTCGCACCTTAGTAGGAAATATAAAAATCGTAAAGCTGGAATAAGTAAATCTTGAATATCGGTCACTGAGCATATATGTAGTTTTGCGTCACTTCCCAATTTATTCATGTCTCGATTGTAAACAATTTTACATAGATATGGCATTGGTTTTGATGTTTTTTATTTTTATTTCAATTTTAAAGCGGTTGAGGACAAATCCCATTTTAAACCGCAGGTTAAGTCAATGTAAACAAATGGGGTTGAAAAGTCTCAAATTGACAAGGCCCCAATAAATGAATATATATTATATATCATTATATGGAGGCCTTCTGATGGGCATTTTTATGTGTTACAAACTGTATGACTGTACGAACATACGACAATACTTCATGATGATTATGTAGAAATTTCTTTGTCGAATTATTTTTAGCTTCGTTTTCTATCAATATCTTCGATTCGCTTTTATCAAAAAATATAATATATATATACATATATATATATATATATATATAGATATATATATATTTAATCGAAATTATTATGCAACGTTGGTTTTTTGCTAACGAGGAGCTTCCTTGCAAAGAAAAACGCGAAAGAGTGGAAAAAGTGTCTATGAGGCAAACAGTTGATATCATTCTGGGAGACGTGAATTTCAATTTTTATGTTACTTACAATGGGAAATTATGTTCGAATGAGATAATGGCGATTACCGGAAATCTAGGATTGTTTGGCGAATGGCAAGTCGATCGTTGTCTCTTAATGAAAAGGGCTGAGAACAATAGATGGTTTATTTCATTGGAGCTGCCACGCAAACAAATTATTTATTATAGATATTTGATTGTTGCCCTCTACGGCAAGAATGAAAAATTCGTACGTTTTTGGGAAACAAATGATGATAAGAGGTGTATAGAGCTCTCTCCGGATATGCCTATTGAAGACGATACAAGAAACGATCTCTTTGGCATTGTGAATGGCAAATTTAAGGTGGATAGGGGCTGGCTTAGGCATGGTGTGACGGTAATACAATTTAAAGTTTTCAACGCACCAATTGTATTAACAAAACCTTCGAAAGCTACGGACTTTTATATTAAAATTAGTCCAATAAAAATTAGAATGAAAACAGAATGCACGACAGAAGCTAAAGGTATTTCTGGGCGACGTTCTAAATTAATTGACGCTGAGAATGTGGAAGAAACATTTGCCTTTTGCGAAGTGACTTCCTTGAAAGAACACGAAGGTGAATTTGGCTATCAATCTAAATATGGAAAAGTTGGTAGTCGCGATGACTTACTTTTGTTTAATATAACATTGAATGACTTTGAAAATACAGCTTACGAAATAGATATGTATTATTATCCATTGAAAGCTGCCAGAGATCATCCTCCTTATCATTTCGGTTATATTTTGGTTATGCCGCAGAAGTTAAAATGGTCGGAAGGCTCGCTCACCGAAACTATAACATGCGCTTCCACTCATCGTGCCGTCGGTGTCATAACGTTTGACTACTTAATTATCCGATCTCTGCCTGATCGTCATTTCAATATGGAAGCGACCTATTGCCGTTATTGGAAACCAAAGCAAAAGACCATGAATATCGGTCGGCGTGGTTGCGGTGTAAGTCACTGGCACGGTAACAATATACTGCGAGAGAACACTATCGAATCTATTAAATGGGCGATCGAGAGTGGTGCGGATATGGTTGAATTTGATGTTGGATGGACTAAAGATAAAGCTGCTGTACTTTATCACGATCTAATGCTTGACATTTCTCAGCACGATGATATTGATATCCACGAACATGATATTTTGCGCTTTACAATGGACGAAAATGAGAAAAAGGAATTGTTTAAATATGCAAAAAAATTAAAACCCGATATACTGACAGTTCCAATAAATCAATTTACACTCGAGCAATTGCAGCGTGTTAAGGTATATGAGCCACCCATTCGATCCACTGTTGGAAGGCCTGCATCTCCCGTCAGACATATTGAAAATCGTCCCTTCGCTACGCTGCCCGAGGTTTTTGAGAAAATACCGACTGAAGTATACCTCGTTATTGACCTTAAGTGGCCGATACAATTGAAAAATCAAAATTGGGAAGGTGGTGTTACAATCGGCGAAGATATAAACGAATTTGTCGATGCAATACTCGAAATGACTTTTAAATTAGCCGGCTCTAGACGTATTGCGTTCTCATCCTTAAGAAGTGACATTTGTACAATGGTTCGTCTTAAACAAAATAAATACCCTGTCATTTTCTTCGCTAAAGGATATGCAAGTGACTATTTGGATCCGTTAACCCAGAAATTGTTTAACATGTGTGCTTTCGCCCATGCGATGCAATTTTTAGGTATTGGAACAAACAATATAGAACTTTTGAATCATATCGGCAATCTATCGTATATCAAACGGACAGACTTGCGTATTTTTAGCTGGGGTGCTGAAAATCGTTCATTAGCCGTTCGTGAGAAAATGGAATTCATTGAAGTGAACGGCATTATTTGGGACCGTATAAACAAAGATATTGCACCTCCCGATTTACAGGAGAATATTGGCTACATTGAGCGCCCAAAAGAACATTCTGATACTAACCTAAACTGAGAATAATTTCTGCTCAAGAATTTTGCTAAATGTTTGAACTTAACTTAGTCTTGTTCGTTCTACATTTAAAAGAAAATAAATATTTTGTGTAAGAAACAAAAAAAAAAAAAAAAAAAAAAATCTTTTCAAAATCTATGATTAATATATATATCCAATTTTCTCAAGTTTTTCATTTATAAGGCAAGTAGCCCTTAAGTAAATCCACGAATCGTCGACAAACTAACGAAATATAAGTGAATTCTGCTTGGCATTTCGACGCCAATCAGTTTAAGCGAAAGCATGTGTGAACAACATCGTAGCGTTTAATTTGCCTGCAAGATGCCAATGAAATTTTTTGTAATTTTAAGTATTTGTTTGTTCGGACTTTCTTCGCCTTTCACCTTAACACTTAAGACTCTGACACGCTGGCGTGTGTAGATATTAAGTATTGCAAAATTAGACTTCGATTTAGAATTGAAATATGAAATTTGAACTCCGATGTTCATTTTCAAATACCAAGGTCGGTATACAAAGATCAACCAATGATTAGCGAACACACAGTTTAATTGCGACAAATAATGGACACATCACTTACAGTATTTTTAATATAATTTTTGTGACGATATACTTGCACGAAAGTTCTTTTATTGACGCGTTGTCCAAAACGGTGTGAACTGACGCGGTCCAAATTTAGCAAATTCAATTCAATTCTCAAAAATTTTTTGCTGCTTCATTCACTTTCATCATAACCGTCATTGCTGGGTGCAACAGTTTAAATAAAGAGTAGAAGGTTTTTAAAATACCAGATAGCACCGTGAATAAATGCAACTCTGATAAAGCTGAAAAAACAGCTCCTCAACTCTAGAAGGAAAAGTGCCGTGGCAGATGTAGAAATCCGTTTGAAAAGATTAAAAAGAAGCATTAGAATTATTACTATGAAGAAACCTATGAGCAATTATTACGAAGACTATGTCTATAAAGAACCTATGAGCAATTATTATGAAGACAATCTATCTGTATAAAATACAGTACGACCCTAATAAATGCTGAAATATCTGAATTTTTATACACTGGTCAAAAGAGCGAAATCTCACATAGTACTGAGAGAGAGAAAGAAACTGTGACCAATATATAATTGGGGATCTGGACAAAGCAGTGCAAGAGTTATGTGATCAATTTGATAACGGTTTAGGGGAGAGTTGGAATGCACTCCGACCTGTTAAACGACATGGTAAGTATTTTAGACTGGCACAAGCTAATACAATAGCGATTGATGATGTGATTTTGAGCTTAGTTAACTGGAAGGTATCAGGAAGGCTCATTAATATTTTCGATTAAATAGATTATGCTTTCTCGGCAAGTTGCTCGTTCAGTTATTGTTATTAAATAAATCGTTTCGTTTTTATTTTGAAAAATACTCAAAATTCTGTTTGATCGGTTATTTATTGATTTTTAATTAATTTTTTTTTTTTTTTTTTTTTTTTGCAAAATTCGTTATGCAGCGTTGGTTTTTTGCTGATGAAGAGTCGAAATGTGAGAGAAGAGCGAAAACGCCATCTCCGGAACGCGTTTCAATAAAGTCGTCTCACGTTTCTTTGGAGAGCATCCCTTGGAAATTTTGCGTTGACTATAAAAAGCCATTATGTTTGAACGAAACTTTAGCTATTATAGGAAATGTAGAGATGCTCGGCAAATGGAAACCCGAAAACTGTGTCGTAATGAAGGAAATAGATAATGGTCGCTGGTGCATTTCAGTTATCTTGCCTCGCAATGAAGAGATTCTTTATAGATATTTGGTTATTGGCATCGATGGTAAGCGTCGCAAAATTATACGCTTTTGGGAGACACATCATCCAGCGCGATGTATAAAGGGTTCCGTAAGTTCGGAAGAGGAGGATGGACGATGTTATGACGTGTTCGGCTATATTAATGGCGACTATCAGGTGAATCGAGGTTGGGTTATGTTTCACACCGTAATAGTGCAATTGAAATTTTTCAAAGCTCCGTTCGTTGTATGCGAACATAGCCAAACTACGTTGCTCTATGTTAAAGTGCAACCAGTTAGGGTTGCGCCAAAGAATGCAAATAAAACCAAGGTTCAAGAAAATGAGTCTAAGGTACTGGAATCGGACACTTTAAATACTCTTAGCGGAGGAGGAGAGACGAATGAATTGAAAACGACCTTTGCCTTCACTGAAGTCGTCTCATTAAACAGCAGTTCGAGTCATTTTACTTATCAACCAAAGTTTGGTACCCCTTGCGGACCAAACGATATGCTAATATTTCATATGACATTGGGCAACTTTGCAAATACAGCTTATGTGGTCGATTTCTATAGCTATCCACGAAAAGCTGCCTCAGACATTCCGCCATATCATTTTGGCTATGTCCACATATTTCCGCACCAGTTAAATAATTCAGATGGTACTCTCACTATGGATATTATGTGCGCCTCGAAAAATCAATCGGTGGGTACGGTTATGATTCGCTATTTGATTATACGGCCATTGCCCCATGATCTGAATATGGAAGACACGTTTACTCGATATTGGAATCCAAACTGGAATAATATGCAAATTGGTCATCGTGGTTGCGGTAAAAGTCACTGGCGTGACCGGGACATACTACGTGAGAATACTGTCAAATCAATTAAAATGGCAGTCGAGAATGGCGCTGATATGGTGGAGATCGATGTTCAATTAACTAAAGACAATGTCCCCATATTGCATCACAACTTATGTCTACAATTTTCCCCTTCCGATAATATTGATATCCAGAAATATGACGCATTGCGTTTTGCGTTGACGGAAAATGAAATTTTGCAAATAGGAAAATACGAGAAGGAGGACGGTTCGCATAACATAAGGATACCAATAAAACAATTTACTCTAGCGCAATTGAAAGCGGTTAAGGTATACGAACCCCGTCGTGCTATTTCAGAACCTAATTGCTCTTTTGACACCAAAAGCAATCGACCTTTTGTTACGTTGGAAACGGTTCTTAAGAAAACGCCTCGTGATATCATTTTAAATATTGATGTCAAATGGCCAATACGCCTTGAAAATGGCAATTGGGTCGATGGTGTCATTAGAGAGGAAAATATGAACGATTATGTGGATGCAATTATCGAAATTGTTTTGAAACATGCCGGGACCCGAAAAATTATTTTTTCCGCTTTTTGTCCGGATGTTGCCGCAGTGTTACATCTCAAGCAGAATAAATATCCGGTATTTCTTCTTTGCCATGGAGCTTTCGCCGGGGTGCAATTCGTAGATTCCAGGGGTCATGATTTGCACGCTGCTGTCAGTTTTGCCCATGTCATGGAACTTCAGGGTATAAACGTACACGCTAGCCATCTTTTAGAATATAAAGGCGATCGCACTTTCATTCAAAAATCCGGTTTGCGATTAATTACCTGGGGCTCTCAAAATCGTGACGCAGACTTTCGTGAAAAACTCAATTCATGGAAACTTGACGGCATCGTCTATGATCGTATTGACCGCTATTTGGCATCAAAAGATCTAAAAGGTAATATGGCTTACATAGAACTAAAGGAGGAGAAGAACAAGAATGTTTAAAATAAAATTTAACCTAAATATATTCGTTTTAATTAAAATTTGTATGTGCGGATGTGTCCGTCCCCTTTAATAAATATTAATTCAATAAAGATTTTCATATAATGCACAAGAAAATGTTACCGTAGCGTTGTTGGGTTGGAAGCGAAGCCTGCGCAAGTGATCAAATTAGACTGCTTAGACGAAATTCTCTTGCCAATAAACTCAAACGGCCACAAATAATCCAGTTATGTGTTAACAATTCTTAAATTGCTTGCTTGGGGAAAACATAGAATGGGAAAATTGTTTCACTAAATTGTGTTTAGTATCATATATCGGGCAATGCGTATCGGATTCCGCATTTCATGCAGTTAGTTTTTTATATATCGTCAATCATGTTAGAGGTTATGTTGGCGTGAAAATGCGTGAATTTTATGAGAAAAGCCCTCGCATTTTGGAGAGAAGCGCAGGTTTATCAGCATTTCAAATTAATCGATCGTTTACCACATCCAGAAGATATGCGTATAGTATAGAAAAATAAAAGTATCCGACTGATCGTCCGATAATAATAGATGCATTGAAAGAGAAGAAAAAACTTACGATCATTGGCAGATACCACGGATTTTGAGCCCGATACTATTTTCTAATGAAGCCGGCAGAAATCCTACCCTTCCAATTATAAAACTTTACTGTATTTAATTTAAAGATAATTCACTTAAATCTTGAGAGTATGCACTCGCTTTAGTATAACATAAGGAGGAGTACGTGGCACCAACATTTTTTTTGACGCATATATAAGTCACTCGGGACAAGTCATCTACAATGAACGTACAATGAACGAAGATACTCTGAAAAGTGTAGGATAAAGAGAGAGAGAGAGCGAGTGAGAGAGAGAAAGAAGGAAGGAGAGAAAGAGAGGTCGCCCGATCAATAAGTGTCTTTACCAACCGGGACTTCACTGCAGCTACGACGGGAATGCAATCAAAATATAGTCTATCGCTCTAGGAATTGAGTACAGGTATGCCGACCTCCTACCCATATATCAAGTTTATCACATATTCGAATAGCAGAGATGATAATAATACAATAGACACACACATATCTCACATCAGACAGCCGGACGTATCATTAATTTCTCTGTGCCTTTCGATAGAATTCAATTTCATTTGAATTCAATTTACAAAGCTTAATAATCAATATCAGTCCGTTGGTCTTTTCGCTCTTTTATCGGATAGCTTACGGATGCCCTTCGTGTTTTCGAGACAAAATAATCATCGGCCCATTTTTGCGCATCTTTTGAATAAGTAAGTGGTTATCAGAAAGAGATAGGTCGGTGGAAGTGCAACACGTAGCGCAGCGCAGCGCAGCGCGCTTCTTTTCGCACAAGGAGTTTTAATGTGGCTTCTTTTACTTCGAAATACTCCAACTTTTATGGAAAGCGACAACAACGTTGATAAGCAAACGCATGCTCACATACTTTTATGACAAGTGATAGATAAAAATGCCCGAATACGAGTTTTTTTTTTTTTAATTTTTTTTTATTTAGTAACTTAACAATCCTGTTTTATCATAAACTTGATATTGGAGAGTTTTTTAATGAGACTACGGAATATCAATATAGATGCAAAGTCACATAAACTATGATAAGAAAATATAGTTAAAAGTTTTTATGACTAATGACCCGTCCCAACACGAGATTAGGACTGTTAATCAATACTCTCTCGGGTATTAAGAAATTCGATTCAAGCGTGTTTTGTTATACTTTTCAAATCCTATATAAATATAAATATTTGTTTTGTGTTTATTTTCATTTAAGACAATAAGAACAACAACAATAAAAATAATAACAACAAAAATAACAACAGCAATAACAGCAACAAAAATGATAAAATCACGCATCTAGGAAGTGACTCTCAAGTTTGAATCATAATCATAATAAAATCGCATGTTATGCGAACTTGCCAAGTCTCAGGCAACCGTAAGAACAATCAAATTCGTGCCTAAGTAAAGTTAAATATGCTGTAAACAAATTATATTATAAAATGAGAGAGAGAGAGAGAGAGAGCAAGAAAGCTAGTGCTAATACGCCGACCGATTCAGTTTATTTCACTATCAGTTGTAGACCAATAAAAATGCTGCGTGTATGCCGTTTGCGTGGAAAGTGTATTTTTCTTTTTACATTTTTTGTTTTTCACACACCCTATGCTATTACTGACACACGGCATATTAAGTTTACACGAAAGTACACAACACCCAGAATATGTTAAGATAAATAAATGCCAAATTTGTTTTCTATCCTCATTAGATTCAAAATCATTATCTGCATATCTGCTCGCCTGCTCGTCTTCCATGTGTTTTTGTATTCGACTTATAGGTAACAATTTTCGAGATAATTTTTTAATGAAACGACGGCCGCATATTGAAAATCTTTCTATAATGTCGTGCTTTGAAAAAGTTGTTATATATATATATATATTTTTTTTTTTTATCATATTATATTGTATATTAGTAAATATCGATGGGAAGGGAATGGGTTTTTTTTTTTTTTTTTGATATGTTTCCTACAATCTAATTGATCTTAAAGCGACAAGCGTCGATTTTCAATATTTGATGAGTGAAATGGCGTTGCCTGAATAGCGAGCTGACGTTAGTTAAGTTAAGTGAAACCAAAATGCGGATTGTAGTTAAGACGGTTCAATTGATTGCGATAACGAAATATGATGTAGGATTTTTGACGCAAAATTGTTTTACATCTTAAAACTAAAACTGAAATTAAGTATGGAGAGATATAAGGTGTAAGTAAAATGTGATTACGTAATCATTGCGTATTCCTATAATCCTATTGACAGGGGGCAGTCCCTGTGTGGCTGGTCAAATAAGAAAATAAAATTATTTGGATGCTATCACGAACATTAATGAATGCTTTAAAAATTGTTTGAACATATGATCTAAATGTCGCGATATGTTTTTGTTTATTTTACAAATATATATATACACGATTTGCTCCTTATCTGCCGCGCAAACATCATATCGTATGTACTTAGTTAACCGAAATGTTTTGTTTAGTTAGTTAAATCAGTGAATTGCACTGCAGCTCCTACAAATGCCATATATATTTTTTATTAATTAAACGATTAAATAGTAGTAGGTCAAGGAAGAAGTTCATAGCATTTTTGCTTAAAAATTAAATCAATTTTTCTAAATTCAACATACGGTATGCTGATCGATAACTTGTTTATGCGAGCTTTTTTTTAATGAAAAGTATGTAATGTAAAGTGTATGACAAGCAGACAAGTTTAAGAAGACGAATCAATATCTGAATCGATCGTATTATAATAATAAAAGATACGTCTGCCTTAAATCGTTCTGAGTGTTACGTACGTCTATAGGGTATAAATATGCTGTATATTGTGATCGAATATTCGCTATAATTTATTATTATAGTTCAAAGCCGCTTATGCCCTTGCATCAAAAGGTTCGAATATAATGAAGACAGACCGCGACTCAGAGACATTTAACGTTGCTTTTAACGCAACATATTGTATTATGTTTAAATTAGGGAAATTATGGAATACATAGTGACTTGGCTTGAAATATATTCTCGAGATACGACCCCATGTGAGTAGGTGGAAAATTATTTATGTGCAATTTTTAATTATTATTTAATTATTTTAATTATGAAAAATATCTTCATATCCTGATAGAACGTTTTCCCTGCAAATTTATTATAAATCATTTGACGAACATAATTATTCAGAAATCGGGAAGATGAGCTACGACGATGATATACGGAGCGATGAAATGAAAAGCAATTTCTATATATATATATATATGTTACATCATTTTGGCATTTTTTGCTATTTTTTTTTATTTCCCTGTTTTTACATACTTACACTTGTACAATTTAGCGTGTGTTAACTTAAAGCAAAAAAGTCCATAAAGTTTTCGCTTTGTAAACATATGTATGACGTCATATCATGAAACGTTTTGTAATAGAATTTTGCTAATTAAAAACGATGAGAATGAAGAAGCTATTACGTTAACTTGTCCCCCCCCCC